GAGAGGCTTTGCCAAACCGAAAGAAAAGAACCTGTTGAGCGTAGTTTGTCCGAGTGCTGCTTTTTCTATGAGACTCGTAAGCTCTCTAACAGGCCTCATTTCCACTTTATATATATGCGATTGAAAGACATATTCGAGTGGACTTAAAGAAAGGCCCGCATGATACATGAAGCCACATTGGTTATAAGCCGTTTTTGGGACGCTAAAAATCACAAACTAGTCCCATAAGGCTTTATAACCTTTTCGGTAGGTTTCGAAAGTTTTGAAGAAGTTTTTCGAAACCGCTTCATGTGTCATGAGATTCCATTTGAACTTTTATGATTCTTTGTTGTTCCGCGCATGCTCAAACATAGGGTGGGTGGGCGGGAACCTTCCGTGCAGCAAAGTTTGTACCCACCACTCCCACCCAAACTTTGCGGGGTGAAAGATGCCCCATAACTTTTCAACGAGCCCGGAGGGGCTGTTGGCGAAGTGCCAACATGTGCTGGGATCCCGAGGGGGATCCGGAGCATGCACTTCTTTCCCCGAGAGGCTTTGCCAAACCGAAAGAAAAGAACCTGTTGAGCGTAGTTTGTCCGAGTGCTGCTTTTTCTATGAGACTCGTAAGCTCGCTAACAGGCCTCATTTCCACTTTATATATATGCGATTGAAAGACATATTCGAGTGGACTTAAAGAAAGGCCCGCATGATACATGAAGCCACATTGGTTATAAGGCCAGACTGCACCGCAGAATTGATCCGGGTGCAAGCTCGCAGATACTGGGATTAGGCCGAGCTGCTGAATTGTCTTGCCATGGCTCAGGCCACGTCTTGGGTGACCCGTTATCACCTCTTCAGATTGCTCTGTGCGTTGCGCTGCCGGGTCTTGACGCACACCAGGCGTTCCCCACGGTCTACACCCTTGCCCGGGCACTTGCACTGTGCTCCCACTTGTATGCGTCGTGTTGGGCTACCAGCACGTCGACATACGTCGATGTCCATTTTCTGACCCCGCATGGCCCTCTCCTCCTTTGCATCATGGCAAGTGGGTGGAACGAGATGCCGGCCAACGTCAACATACCGGGCTACGACACGTTCCATTTTACCTCATCTTGCGACATCGACCCGCTCTTTGTCACTTTCGCGCTGACCCTGGCATCCCAGCGGGGTACGAACTGCATGGTCTTTGAGGGACGCATTCGACGGGCATTGGTGAAATTTCTTCCAGATGATTCCAGGCGTGCGGATGCCGTCTCCCACACGAGACAGGAATCTTGCCCTTGCTCAGGCTTCGTCTTGGGTGACCCGCTCCCATTTCTTCGGAACGCTCTGTGCGTTGCGCCTTGCCGGGTCTCGATGCACTCCAGGCGTTCCCCACGGTCTACACCCTTGCCTGGCCACTTGCACTGTGCGCGATGTTTGGTGGAATTGAACGCCGGCAGCCAATCCGCCACTGGTTTTGCACACCGCGGATCGCTTGTGTCCAATCCCGGGTCCCGGTTGCTTCTGGCCGGCTTTGAGTCGCAACGCCCCGGGCACCGATTGCTCTGGAAGCCGTTCGCCACGGCGAACATTGGACTTTTGGACTTCGGTGTGCTCGATCGTGACGGAACAAAGCGCAGGGGCTGCCCGTTGTCTGGCGAGACTAGAACGGCTGCCGGAGCTTGGACTTGGCTCCTCTTGTTGCTTTGGGCAGCTCAGAGCGACGGCTCTTTGTTGCTTCGGATCGGTCGCTGAGGCTCCGTAGTTGTGCTGAACGGCTAACACCAGCAAAGCCTGTGCGCCGCAGCCCTTGTAGAGCTTCGCTTTTGGTCTCACCGCTTTGTAGTGTTTTTGCTTAGCTTGTTGTCTGTTTGTTTGTAGGGACCGAGTGCTACAGCCGTAGTCGACGAGGCCCATTCACGCCAAAAAACCGTTCCGAACTGGGGACTTCCGTCCTTCCAAGGCACCGGCAAGCGACCCTTTAAGCCCAGCAAGCTCATCCAAGAGCAGCCACCACCAAAACTCCGGCCGAGCGAGCTTATACCAGAACAAGTCGAAAACTCGTCCTTTAGGTAGGCGCAGAACTGGGTTGCAAAACTGAACAACTTTGACACCCCATACATGTATGATTTTTGTAACAGTAACACACGTGTACAGTAGTAGCTTTTGACTCCAGTTTTCACTTGAAAGACTTGTCGCTCCGCGTTGCTCGAACAGGCTCAGAGTGAGGTTGAAAAGTGTGGGAACTCGTTCATGGTAGCGGAGCTCCTGGCCGTCCAGGGGTTCCGACACACGTGGGTGAGCTTCCGTTCGGGATTTGCGTTCGGGGGCCATTGGGCTGCGAGCTTTTGCTTCTGTGGGTTTAGGGGACAGCTTCGGTGAAACTGTAGTGTTTCTCCAGCGCCATAGCCGGCGCCTCCTCTTGAAATCACGACCACAGAAGGCAGTGTTGAGGCTGTCAAGAGCAGACTGCTTGAGTTTTACGTAGAACAACTTGTGCAGAGGGAGCGGCCGACCAATCGTACTGCAGAAGGTTGGAACCGCATTGTTGCGACGCAGAGAGAAGGGTTCGAGGCCCATTTGGCTGCATTGACCACTGTCCAGCAGGTTTTCCAGTTTGGTGAGCGGTGCCTGAAGGACCAAGATTTGAAAGAGGCTTTCCGTTACTTTGCAGCCGAAGACTCCTTTGAGGCAGCAGTTCCCTGGGATCTTCAATTGCGTAGCGTGCATCCAGAGCAGGAGTGTGAGCGCTCCCTCGCAGCAGCCGCAGACCTTGATCGTGTGTTTTTCAAAAAGTCCTTGAAGCGTTCAGCTGAGTGCCTAGACATTGATCCTGAGCCCAGTTGTACTTCGTTTTCTGAGCTACGCCCTTCCGAAGGCGTGATCGAGCTTTGTGAGAGCGATGGCGAATGTCATTCCAGCACAAGTGCCGGCAGGTGATGATACTGATGATGAGCTGGGTGCCGATCCCGCTTCTGCTTCGCAGCATGGTGGTGATGCAGGCACAAACCCTTTCCCGTTTTCACCTACAGGTTCGGCACAGGCTAGAGACATGACACCGGAGGTCATGATGCAAATGATGGCACAGATGACGCAGGCGGCCGCAGCCGCGAGCCAGGCAGCAGTCGCTGCTGTAAGCGCTCTGAGCAGCAAGGATGCTGCGCCCTCAGGTTCAACCACTTCAGGGTTTTCCGATGCCAATAGGATACTTAAGCGTCCTGACGAGTTTGGGAGCTCGAGTCACGATCACGATCTTGCGATCTGGCAGGAGTGGTCGCATGGGTTTAAGAGTTGGCTCATTTTCGCAGACGCTTCATTTGAATCAGAGCTGCAGGAGATTGAGCAAAATTTGGATCGGTCCCTGGCGAGTGCTCACATGAGTGCCGCAGCGCAGGCGCGCAGCCAACGATTATATGCCATTTTGGCGTCGCTTTTGAAGGCTAAGCCGCGCACCCTGCTTCGGCAGGTGGAGAATAGAAATGGATATGAAGTGTATCGACAGTTGATGGGTGTGTATGCGCCCAAGTCGAAGGCCCGTTCATTGGCCTTGATGAACGCAGTGGTTTCGATGCCAGCATTCACGAAGGACAAAACATTGAGAGAGCAGCTGGCTGCCTTGGAGCGCTTGGCGACTGAATATGAGAGAGTGGCCGGCAAGCCGGTCGGAGATGACGTCCTTTTGGGGACGGTCTTGAGATGTCTTCCACAGGCCATTCGGCAGCACATCCAATTGCAAATGACTGAGACGACTACTTATTCTGCTGTGCGAGATTATGTGGTCTCATACGAGTCCACGACGACCCAGTGGTCAACCACGAAGGTTCATCAGTCCTTGGGCGTCGTTGCGCCGCCGCCGGGAGATCAGGACCCTGTGCCCATGGATGTTAGCCGTGTGACGCAGCTGATTGCAGAGCTGAATCGCATCAAAGGAGGCAAAGGAAAGAAAGGCGACGGAAAAGGAAAGAAAGGCGACGGAAAAGGCAAGAAAGGCGATTCCAAAGGCAAGCCGTCAGGTGCATACGGTTATCAGGGTTATGGGTATAGTGGTCAAGGTGATAAAGGCGGTGGCAAGAAGGGTGAGCCGAAAGGCAAGAAAGGTCAAGGAAAAGGCGAAGGAAAGAAGGGCAAAGGCAAGTCCAATCCCAACCTTGTGTGCTGGTATTTCGGTAAGACTGGCCATCCACAGCATTTGTGTTTTCAGAACCCCAACCGCAAGCAGATCAATCAAGTTGAGCAGTCAGGTGCAGTTGGAAGTGGAAGCCCAGCGCCAAGCACCGTTGGCCCGAGCGCGAGCCAGCATCCGCAGCAGTCCGTGGCCGGCAGTGCTACGACAGTCAGGCGTGTTGATGCTTCAGAGCCTTTGATTTTCGATTTTAGCGATGTGCAGAGCCCAGCTTCCGTTGACATCAGGGCTATCGTTGCTGAGTTTGAGGGACCAGAATTTGGGTCCGATGCCGAGAATTTTCATTTTCATGCACCATGCCAATTTTTCGACATGACGTATTCTGATGCCGATGCAGACTGGCTTGTGTTGCCGGGCGTGCCGAGCCCCGTGGAGCCTGAGCTCCTGCGTGACGGTGTGGAGCCCATTTTGGGCGATGTGGCAGTTTCTGTGCTTGAGACCAACCTGCGTGAGGTCGAGGTGTCTCCAGCCGTGTCAGTTTCTGTTCGAGCAGTGAATGGTGCAAGGCCTGAGGTTGATTTGGAAGTCATTTTGGATTCAGGGGCTGACTTGAGCTGTTTGCCAATCGCCTTGGGGTCCACAGGTGTGCGAGGGCCGAGAGCAGGCCGCATTGCGGTGCGTGATGCCCAAGGTGGGGAATACCACCAGGGATGTAGAATTTTCCTTGAAGGCCCATGATGGAAGGGAAGTGGTTTGGAAAGAAAGGTGCATCGTGACATCCGTCACCCAACCACTGTTGGCCCTTGGAAAGTTGATGCGGGCAGGATGGATTCCGTCCAAAGACGATTTCGGGATGTTTTTGCAGCACCAGGAGAGCGGAGTTATGGTTCCGATTGATTTTCGGGGAAATAGCCTTATGGTTCATGCCACTTTGCGTAGAGTAGACGGTGAAGATGCTGAGTCAGCAACTGGCGAGGAGCCGGATTCCAGAGATCCGGATGCCAGAGATCCAGATGCCAGAGATCCAGATGCCAGAGATCCGGATGCCAGAGAGCCGGATGCCCACGATCAGGATGCCGAGGGGAGTTTGCATGTGCGTGCGACAAGCGCGCGTCCCAGCAATGAGTTGGTTGATGCTTCGTTTGGCTGGCAGACCTTGGAGAGCACAGGGCATTTTGTGTGGCGGGGAAGAACTGACAGGTACATTGATCCAGCCACACTTGTGCCGATCACTTGGCCTCATCGCACCACTTTGGTGTATGCCGGTGCAGGCTGGCAAATGCTTGAATGGTGTGTCGAGTGGCTAGAACTTAAGGATCCTGTTGCTTTGCTTCCATGCGGTATGTGCGATTGCATCACTGTGCTCAGCATGAATCAAGAAGAGCCAGGTGACTTCGGTGTTGAGCTCGATTCGGGACTGTCTGAGCATGTGAACGACAGCGGGTTGCAGGCAGAGCTAGAATTGCAAGATGCCGATGAGCAGATGCCCGAAGTGCCAGGTCAGGCCGACCCGCCGAAACATGAACATGCAGAGCAGGATTCAGTGATCACAGTGAATGGCGTAGGACTGTCGATGGAGTCGACTCTGGGAGCTTTGCGTGCCGGTTGCAAATTTCTGAATTTGTCGCAGTCGGGATCCAAGCAAAGGTGTTTTCAGCGATTGCAGGGATATGTGCAGAAAGAGCGAATTTCTTCAGAAGTCGAGGTGGCCCGACAGGCCGAAGGTGATGATGCACGTGAGCCGCGCATGCAGTTCCTGCCTGAGCCTCCTAGTGAGGAGGCCCGCTTGCTTCACGAGATCACGCATCTGCCTTATGCTAGCTGGTGCCCGCACTGCATCGCGATGAAGAGTGTTCCTGATCAACACCGCGCCGTGCCGGAAGGCAATGCACGAGAACACCCCACAGCTTCTTTTGATTTATTTTACACGGGGTATGATCCGACAGGCAAGCTTGAGAGTGGCCCCGATGATCGCGGGGGTGACCGAGACAAGCTTACGTGCCTCATTGTGCATTGCAATCACACTGATGCCATTGCTGCAATTCCACTGCCTGACAATAGTGCTGCAAGCATGAAACATGCCGCGGTTGAACTAGTTCGGTTTTGCCAACTGTTAGGGCATTCTGAAGTCGAGCTTAGGTGCGATCAAGAACCGTGTATGCTCCAACTGCAAGGCCTAGCTATGAATGCTCGCAAGAGGCTTGGGTTTCGCACTAGGATTCGGAATCCTCCGATAGGAGCCCACCAGGCGAATGGACTTGCAGAGAAGGCCGTGGATGTCATCCGGTCATTGGCCAATGTGTTCCTTGATGCAGCGAGGCACCGCTATGGGATCATGATCCCGGTGTCCCATCCGCTTTTCGCCTGGAGCTTTGTGCATGCAGCATGGACATATACTCGGTTCAAAGTCAAAGGTGGCTTAACATCGTACGAACGCATCACAGGCTGCCGCTATCGGGGAAAGTTGGTTCCCTATGCCGAACCGATCTTCGCGTACATCAGGACTGCCAATTCTCCCAAAGGAAATCCCAAGTGGGTGCAAGCAGTGTTCCTCTCCAAAAGTGGAATCAATGACATGTTCATTGTCGGAACATCCTCAGGAATCATGCTTTCGAAATCTGTGCGCCGTACGGGCCAGCCGTGGTCCACGCAGAAGACATTGGCCGAGGCTATCGCAGGTGCTCCGTGGAACTTTCAGTTAGGCTCTCTTGGTTTGAAGACCGTTCCGCAAGGGCGGATCCGAGCACCAAATCCGGCCGAGCAGGCAGCTGTGGTCGATGGCTCGGCACCTGAGTTGCCGTTGCCGCCTGAGGTGCCGCTGCCACTTCCGAGTGCCCCTCTGAATGCTGAGGCCGGTGGTATCGGTGATCGTGCAGGGCTGATGGCCCATGGTGCAGATGAGGAGCCGGGACCTGCGCCAGCGTCCAAGCGTGCTACTTTGTTGCTTTCACGCGGCGATCGAACGCCAGCTACACCGAGTGCTGTGACCCCAGGTGCCATGCCTTCGTCAGTGAGTGTTCAAGCACAGCATGAGTCGCCACTGCCCCGAGTGCCAGATGAAGCAATGCTTGAGGTATTCTTGCCTAAGAGGTCGGCGGGGACAGGTGACGGCGGGGAGGAAAGTCCTTCTAAGACTGCTAGGCTTCGCCGTGTTGCAAATGAGCACTTGGCTGTGAACGATGAAGAACTTGAAGTGCCTAGTGAATGGGATGATTTGGACTTTTCTTCCAAGGGCGATGCTGTAGCAACAAGCGGTGGTCTCAGTGTTGGCCAGACGGCAAACACAGTTGAACATGAGTGGGATGCGAGCCCATTGCCTCCTGAGACTGCCCAGCAAGCAGGCATTTTGTCTGATGATGAATTGAAGGCTCTGGAAGCCCAGCTGTGGTTTCCCGAAGAGCCCACCTTGAGTCCTGACGAACAAGCCAAGGTTGATGCCATTGCAGACAGGTTTGAGGTGCAAAGGTTGATTCGCAAGCGAGTTCTCAAGTGTGCCGGGTTGCGAGGTGAAGTGTCCGAGGAAGGTTTCAAGCGCTTGTCAACGAAGTTTGTGAGGACATGGCGCAAGAAGGTTAAAGGCGGTGTTGAAATGGTGCTGAGACGGTCCAGGCTATGTGCACGTGAGTACAAATGGCTAGAAGCCGACCGTCTTGACATTTTCAGTCCTGCCAGCAACACTGCCGTGTCTAAGCTCTTGCCGTGGCTGTTTGCTCGGATGAAGAATGAGCCCGGTGCCAGTGCTGGTGATGACAGACCATCTATGCTTACGCTTGATGTTAAGAACGCATACTTGACGGTGCCGCAGGCTGAGAAGGTCCGAGCATCCATGCCCCGTGATTACAGTGACCAGTTTGAGTATGATTTCGAAATGTGCATCCCGGGACAGCGGGACGGGGCTTTGCGCTGGAGAGAGCGTCTGATCAACTACCTGCGTACCAAGTTCGAAGTGAAAGTGTGCGAAGCCTGCCCTGCCTTGATCTCGATCGATGGGCAGAACTGCCTTCTTCATGTGGACGATTTGTTCATTGTGGGCAAGCGATCGTGGCTGCTCAAACACTTTGTGCCAGCACTTGAGAAGGAGTTTGAATGCTCATGGACGATCGCCTCTGAGGAAGGAGAGAGTGTCAGCTTCTTGAAACGCACACATCGCGTTACCGAGAGTGGCGTGATTGTTCAAGCACAGAGTGATTTGATCCACAAGATGTGTGAGGTGCTTGGGTTGCATGAACGCAAGACTTCAGCTGTTCCGTGTTCGAAGGACATCCTCAAGGTGTCTGGAAGTAAGCTGCTTGATGCTGAGGGCGGCAGTACTTTCAGAACCGCCATAGGCATAGCAATGTACTTGTCAAATGATAGGGTAGACTGTGCCTTCCCGATCCGCACCTTGGCGCAGCGGCTCACGGCACCTACCGAGGACGACTTGAAAGCAGCACGGAAGCTTGCAGCATACCTTCGCCACACCGCAGGTTTTGGAATCCACATTGTGCCCCGCGAGAAAGGCTACAGCTTTCTTGATCAAGGACCGTCGAGGGATCAGCATGAACATCTGCTGGAGGTGTGTTCGGACAGTGACTGGAGCGGCTCACAGGTGAGTCGACGATCGATGTCATCAGCCGTCCACTTCCTAGACGGTGCTACCGTCTTCAGCTCGTGCAGGGGACAGAAGGTTGTGTCCCTTTCCTCGTGTGAGGCGGAACATTACGCCTCTGTGACGGCTGCTTGCGACGGCCTTTACCTGAGCCAATGCTTGACCTTCATCCTTGGAGAGAAGCCGCGAATCACTATCAGATTGGATAACCAAACCGCCCGCCAACTTGCACATAGGAGTGGCCCTAGTTCGAAGACGCGTCACATTGACGCCAGATTATTCTGGGTACAAGAAAAAGTTCAAAATAAGTTGTTGTCGTACATGCCCGTCTCTGGCCACATCAATCCTTCTGATTTGGGAACAAAGGTGTTATCGGAACGACGATTTCGAGCGATGCTTGGTGCTCAGAACTTCGTTGACACTGCAAACTCAGACGTTGCAGTAGGCCTGGATGAGTGGAGTGATCTCTTGAGCGAGTCTGGGATACATGTGCGACTCCGAAGGCTGCATGCTCAGCTTCGGTCAGTGCGGAGCTCGCGGGCAGCGCGAGCACAGACGATGATGATTGGCTGTTTGTTGGCAGCCACCCGTGGCGGCCTCGACGAGCTGCCATGGTGATCATGTGGGCCTGTATTGGCCTGCTCATGGTTTCCACTTTGGGATGTTACCTCTTGAGCCTTGGGTCAGTGCTATGGTTTGGAGATGAGCCCATAACGACTTTTGTTTCAACGGTGGGTGTGCATGCAATGCTTGAACAGAGCAGCGTGGAATGCTTCTGCGCATGTGATGCGGAAACACGTGACACAACGAGCACTACGAAACTTGCCTAGTTTGGGTAGCGAAGCGGACCAAACAGTTTGTTCCAAGGAGGCCCGGGGGGGAGGGGGGGAACAATGGGGGCTTGAGACCACCATCAGTTCTGTACGCTTCAGCCATCGTGCTTCGGTCCACGGCCTGCATGCAGTTGCTCTCAGTCATGTCAGTTATGTCAGTCATGTCAGTTGTTTGCAGTTTTCAGTGTTCTTTGCTCGCGATACTTTTCAGTTTTCCCTTTGGCGAAACATTCAGGTGAAGATGATTTTAAAGAAGTTTTATCTTTGAACACTCCTCCTCAAAGGAGGTGTTTTCCAAATCTTTGATTTATCATTCCAGTCGCCTATGATTTTATGTTATTTGAGTTGAGGGCGATTCGCCCCTTGTCAGTTCAATGATATATCTTACGCCGATACATTCTGGATCAACCGGAAGGGGACTCTTAGTCCTTTTAGTGTCTGGGGGGCGCCTTTTCAGGCTTCTTCGCGCAATGGAAGATAGGCTGTGGGGTCTTCTTGAAGAGAAGGGCTGCAGTGCTGTGGATTTGCTTCGCATGCATTTTCAGACTCCTTGGCACCTGGCATGCGCAGTGGATAGTGTTGAAGACGCGGTGCGATTGGCAGAGCAGATCACTCCGGGTTCGATTCCTTCGGACCACAAACGGTTGGGATCTCAGATCTGGGAGTGGATGACTGCTCACACAGGTCTTTTCAAGCGGGTGCAAAGCAGGCTTACTGCGAAGGCCACACGAATTGAAGCGACCCCTGGAAGTTCGGTGTCTCCTTGTGATATCTTTGATCAGTGCGTGAGCAATAGTCTTGATCTTTGCAAGCAGACCAGTCGTGCACATGCTAGATGGATTTCGAATGGCGCCGGGACCCCGGCGGATGCAGAAAAATCTTCTAAGAAGTTTTGGGGAACTGTCCTGGTTCAGATCATGGTGGAGGCAAAGCTTCCTATCGTTGACATTCCGGTTGAGAATGAGGAGCAGCGTGTTTCTTATGCTCTCCGAGCTCTGGGGGCTCGGAGGTCCAAGACACTCAGGAATCGCGCGAGGACCTGGCGCAAGGCTCGTGACTGGATGCTTTCAGTGAAAGGTTACCCTTTCCCGAAGAGCCCTTCTGACGTTGTAGATTACCTCATCTTCTTGGAGCAGGAGGTGGGTACAAAGAGCTGCATTTCTGAGCTTATGAGCGCGTTGTCTGTCATTGAGGATGCTGGACAGGTTCCTTTGACAAATCAGCTGTGCAAGAACCGATTGGTCGTCGCGGCCTCAAAGAGCACCGGGGCTGAAGTGCAGGAGGGGAAAACCAGCAGGAAGCAGGCGGCTCCCCTTTCGGTGGCGATGTTATTATCTTTGGAAATTTTTGTGGTGACTGGTACGAACCCTCATTATGCTCGGTGCCTGATGTGGGCCTGCTTGGTTTGCGTATGGGCTTGCATGCGTGTCTCTGATCTGCAAGGAATCGACGTTTCTCGCCTTAGGCTTTTTCGTGAGGGGCTTAAGGGCTTTTTAGTGAAGACCAAGACGACAGGACCTGATAAGAAGGTGGCCGAAGTTCCTTTCTTTATAGGCAGGTGTGTCGGGCTTTCAGGACGTGATTGGCTGGGCATTGGATTTGATTTGTGGAAAGGCCTGGGACAGCTTGATCGCACTTATTTGGTTTTCCAGTCTTCTGAAGATTTTGAAGAGCCATCTTACAAATTCGCCAAGCCGGAGGTTATTAGCAATTACATGCGTCTTATTTGGGGCCAACTTTTGGTCCCTTTCAGGAAGCTTGGTGAAGGTGTTTGGCGATCCAGGGCTGATGGTAAGCTACTGGGTGATGAGTGCTATCTTTTCTGGACAGGTCACAGTATGAGACATGTTTTGCCAACGATTGCAGCGGTGCTTGGTGTTCCAAAGGAGCAGAGGGATTATCTTGGCAGGTGGCATGTTGGTCTGCATCAGAGTGCGGATTACATACACACATGTCGCCAGATCGTGCATGATTTGCAGCGTCGGGTTTGTGACAAACTTTCGGGCGGCAAACCTGGCTACGATGAGGAGGAGTTGTTTGATGAGCTTAGGGCCTGGCTTCAGAGGAGAGGCTTGGACCCTGAACCTTGGATTAAGCTTCATTCCGTTATGCGTACCGTGGATGGATGCAAGGTTTTGAATCAGAGATGGCCACTGCTTCATGACATCACCGAGAGGTCGGACGACGCTGCCCCGGCCCCGTTGATTTCAAACTCTTCACAAGATTCTGGCGAGTCTCCTTTCTGGGTGAGCATCAGCAGGCACTCAGGGCACAGGCGACTGCACATACGGAATGGTTGCTGGGTCACTCCCGGTAGCTGTCACCGTTTCGCTGAGGTTTGGAAGGTTGACTCCTCAGTGGCCGACAGTTTCTGCAAATTATGCTATCGCGATAAGGAGAGCTCATCTTCGAGTTCGGGGGAATCTTCCTCCACGGATTTAGGTGAGCCATCAGAACCACTCGAGGTGGCTGACCCGTCTTTTCACACGTGATGCAACTCGTTGGAAGTGTGTGTGAACAAAGATGGGAGTGCGCTCTGCGTGCGACTTTCAGTGCACTTTCAGTCCATTTGTTGATGCTTTCAGCTCGGGCGTCACGCTGCGCAAATTCTGTGGGATGCCGGTGACTTGCTCAAGGATCCCTTTCAGTTATCAGGACATGAGTGTCACGTGGTGACAACTATCAGATCTGAGAAGCTTGCTTCGCTTTCAGTTTCCCTCCGGGGTTTCAGCCTTCAGCATCAGGACATCTGTCAGACTTTTAGGGAACTCGATCGTAGACAAACCGCGGTGGTCCGCCATGGCCGCGGACCCAGCTGCACAACGTGCATATCTTCAGGCTAATGTGGATGCAGACTTTGTGTTCCTTCTTGAGGAGCATGGGGTCGATCTGGCACTTCAGTTTGCTATCGGTCAACATTACAAGAGCATTCGCACTTTTGCTGCTTTCGCCGATGATCGTGGTGCAGCACGTACTGCGATTACAGCCGATTTCGCTATCAGGCCTGAGAGCGCTGCGGATCGAGCTAGGATGGCATGCATCATCACTGCTTGGGAAGCTTCCAAGATGATTCGAGAGGAGGAAGCTAAGCTTCGTGCTGAGGCTAAGGTTTTGGGTGTTCAGAAGCCACTCGCCTCTTCGGATCGCGCGGCCATGCGGGTCGCCCTGGAAGCTGTTCGAGGCTACACCGTGCCGGAGTCCGAGGAGCCGGCGCCTGAGTACTTGGCGCACAAGCTTGAACAGATTGAGAATGGCGAGCCCACTGCCAGCTATCTTGATGAAGTTATCTCTCGAAAAGAGTCCAACTCGCTTCAACTTCAGACTTCCTTGGACAATCAGGGCCGGCTTCGGGTCATGCGACAGAAGCCAAAAGGTCGCCTTCCGCAGAATACGGAGGAGCTGCGGGCGAAGCTTCGTCTCGAGGCCTCCACTTGGGTCATGCTCTCAGCCAAGTGTCGCGGTCGTGCATATTTGCAGGGGCTGCAGCTGTCACACTTTGATCGTTTCCTTGAGTTCCTGTTGGGTGACAAGTGTTACAACATGCAAGTGGCTTCCAATGCTCCCGCAAGCTCTTCTCATGCGGAGAAACAGGCACTGTCGGTGCCTTGGAATGTCCTGCTTCAGTACGAGTTTGAGCTTCGTAAGTGGGCTATCAAGGAGGCTCATCGCGATGGGACCCCGCTCGGTGACAAGTTGTATGAGGCCACCCGGAATACCGAGCTCAAGGAGCTCCACTTCACCTCTCAGGTCGCCTTGTCAAAACGTTCGGCCGCTCATGATCCTCCCCCTCCAAAGTGGCCCCGCAAGGGCAAGGACGGCAAAGGGGAAAAAGGCGGCAAGGACGGCAAGGGTGGCAAGGACGGCAAAGGGGGCAAGTCCACTGGCAAGATTCAGGTCGGGGAGTCCTGGTATGAGTTGGTGGCCAAGACTCCGGATGGTCGTGAGCTTTGTTATGCCTACAATATCAAGCGTGGATGTCAGGTCAAGGGATGCCAGCGCGTCCACGCGTGTCGCGTGAAGGGCTGCCAGGGCAACCATCCGGCATATCAACACGGCGCGCAAGGTGGCTCCTGACTTCGCCGTGGTCCGTTGAATTCAGTTGGCGAGTGTACTTCAGGGATACGTCCTACGCTTCGCGTGCTGTATCTGTTTTCAGGTCCGTCTCGCAAATCGGATGTTCGTGGCTCCCTGGAGGCGCTTTGCAAGGCACAGAGTATCACTTTGGTAATGTCAGAAATTGACATCTGCCGCGATCCCAAGCTAGACCTTTTGGATCCTGCCATCGCCGATCGATGTTTGCAGGAGGTTAAGAACTCTGAGTGGGATGTGGTCTTGGTGACCCCACCCTGTGGGACCTTTTCGCGGGCTCGGTGTGTACAGCCGGGTCCTCGGCCACTGAGATCACGTCTTTATCCTCGGGGCTTTCCTTGGCTATCCGATTCTCACCGAGCTCTTGTTGAACATGGCAACCAGCTTGTTTCTTTTGCCTTTGACATCTGCACAAATGCGCTTTCGAATTCAGTACCTTTCCTACTTGAGCATCCTGAAGATCTGGGGCTCACTTCCAACGGTCATGCTCCGGCTTCCATTTGGCAGCTACCGGAGGCCGTTGCTCTTTTCAAGCATGAGAATGTCATCACTTTCGCAGTATACCAATGCCAATATGGGGCGTTTTCGCCCAAGCCCACACGTTTTCTGTCTTCTATTCCGGTTACTTCTCGAATGCCCTTCACTGGGCCGCCTCGGTTTGACGCTTCAGATCGATACCTCGGCCCTTTGCCGAAATACTGTGGTCATCGGCATCAGCAAAAACTGCTCGGGCCTGCCGCTACTTCCGCGGCTGCAGCTTACCCGGACGATTTGTGCAGAACCATTGCTGAATGGTGTTTCTCCGTCTTCGATGGGGGGGGAACACTGGCTGCATTGGCTCCTACACTGGTGCTGGGACCGGGTTTTCAGTTTCCAGCGAGGGAGGTGGAGGCTGGCTCGGGCGCTTCCCCTGCGGAGCGACTTGCTGCAGAATGCTTGAGGAGCGGGACAATTTCGCACGGGCAACTTCTGCGCATCTCTGAATTGCTGCCGGATGAAGACAGAGTTCGACAGACTTCTAGGGTGATCGAAGGTCAGCGATCGTTCACTGCAGGAGCCTTTGTTCACTCTGACAAGGTTGGCATCAGGCGCAACACGAGGAGCTTTCCTTTGTCTTCAGAGCTTTTGGCCAAGCTGCTCTCGTGTGGCTTCCCTGGCCGACCCTTCACTTCTTTAGCATTCTTTCGTGATCTTAAGCAACCGCCGCATCGGGACACCACGAACGGACCTTTTGACAATCTGCTTTTGGCCTGTTCAGGGTTTTCGGGGGGCGGTCTTTGGGTTCAGTCGGAGGGCGGCTCGGTCCGTCGTTTCATAAGTGGTTCATGGCTGTCGGGTCATATCCTGGACTGGGACGGCGGCAAGATTACCTTCGATCCACATGTCTGGCATTCCACGGAGGACTGGGAAGGTTGTCGCTTGGTCCTGGCCGGGTACACCATTGCGAACGATGGGCAGCTCGCTGAATCGGACCGGGATGCTTTACTTGACTTGGGATTCGACCTGCCAGGAAAGCGAAAGCGGGACCACTGCGAGACCACGACCGCAGGGGATGCTGGCGACGATGGGAAGGAGATTGAGGACCTACCTTATAGTGAGCTGAAATCTGGCTGTGAGGGACCGCCCTTGGTGGGCGAGTTTGCAGGGGCGACTGACGAGTTTGTGGACGGCTTCGGTAGATGCTCGCCGGGGCGTTGGAAACCTATCTGCCGGGGGCGCCACATGTCTCCTGCCGCCACTTCCTTTGCACAACAGCTTAAAGATCGTGTTCGAAAGTTTGTTCTTGAAAACGTGCCTGATCTGGCAAAAGCGACTTTTCGTCTGGCGACGGGGCATTGGAATGGTCCCTTGTTCGCTCCGGAGGCAATGGACAAACTTCGCGAGGACTGGTTCTGCATGCTGCCGGATCCTGCACGAGCAAGGGAGCTGATTCCTCATCAGCCATTCTACTTGAGGGCAATGGCACAGACCCTAAAAATCTTGGAGGATCCCGACTACCGCATCATCGAGGAGGGCAAGTTCTGCTTCGTGAATGGTGTGGAGGTCGGACACACTGCGCCATTGGGGCCGGTCCCTCAAGTCTTCAGAGCTCGTCGAAAGGATCAGAAATACGATGAGTCCGACTGGCAACCGCTGATGGATAATTATCGGGACGGCCCTGAGGTTGCAAAATCGCTTGAGGAAGCATTTGCAAAAGAAGAGGCAGAAGGCCGTATGTTCCCACTCTCTCTTTCAGAGGCCCGGGCCCGCTATCCGGGGGCGGCACTTCGTATTGCAGCGCAGGCAGTGATTCCGAAACCTGACCAAGATTTTCGTGTGGTCCATGATGGGACCCACGGGGTCCACGTTAACAATGAGATTGTTATGCTGGACCGTCTTGAATCGCCAGGGGCTAGGGAAGTGTCCGCGATCCAAAAGCTGGGCAGCGTGTCTGATGAGAAAGTCCTCTTCGGTCTCGTGGGGGACGTGAAAAAGGCGCACAGGCGCTACTTGCACCATCCCGACCATTGGGGGGTGCTCTCCTGCAGAACGAGGAGCGATTCCTCTGTGGTCTGGGTCAATCGCACTGGGACTTTCGGAATTGCTTCAGCGGCTTATTGGTTTGCGCGGATCATCGGTCTCGTGGGCAGGCTTTCCCTCAGAGTTCTCCTTCAGTCATTCCTCTTCATGCTCATTTATGCCGATGATCTACACGTGCTCAGCGGGGGACCCGATCGCTGGCTCAATCTCTGGATGTCCCTTGCGCTACTATGCCTTCAGGGGACCCCCTTCTCAGAACGAAAGTGGCGTGGGGGACTGCAACTTGATTGGGTCGGTTATTGGATTGATTATGGACGCTTCAAGCTGGGAATATCTGAAAGGAGGTGCCATTGGATCATCAGTGGCATCGAATCCATGGAGGGAAACGGCTGGCTTGTGGATGTCCGACGATTTCATGAGCTTCACGGGAGACTCGGTTTCATGTCCCAGTCTTAGTTTGGATTAGGCCCTTCTTGGCTCCTGGTTACGCTTGGCTGGCTGCTGTGAGGAAGGGGGCTGTGCTCGCGCTTCCCAATCTTATCCGTTGTGTCTTGAGGTTTATCGCTGACCGCTTGAGGCACGGTGCTCGTACTTACGAATCGGGCCGTCTTGAGAAGGACTGTGGGGAGCTCTTCCGCACGGATGCCGCTTGCAATGATTCTTCGGTTGTCTTGGGCGGATGGTTTTTGCACAAAGGGCCGGAGCCAAAGAAGGCCCCATGGTTTCAGATCACTTTGAGCAGGGACGACGCTCCTTGGTTGTTCAAGAAGGATTCGGGCAGTTCGTGGGCGAGCACTTCGGCTGAGGTTCTTGCTTCGCTTGCGGCGCTACACTTGTTGAGACGTGACTTCAAGGATCTCTGGTCAGTTCCTGGACACTTCCGTGCTTGCTTCTGTGGCGGGACTGATAATAAATCTGCCGAGGCGCTGTCTTGCAAGCTGCTCACGACTCGAGTGCCTCTCATGTTTGTGGTGATGGAGTTCGTCACCTTTTGTGACGCTCTGGGTTTCAGATGCAACCTCAGCTGGAGACCCAGGGACTCCAACCAGGAGGCGGACCGCATCACCAAACATGTTTTCGAGGACTTCGATGAAAACTTGAGACTGCCTTTCAGCTGGTCAGATATGACCTTATCAGTTCTGCCGTCTCTCTTGAGATTCGCGAGCTTTCAGTCTGAACTTGATTCCATCAAGGCCTCGATTGCGGATGATGGAACAACCTCAGCTCCTCGAATAAGGTTCGAGAAAAGTCAGTGGGGATGAGGGAAAGGAGATGCCCTCGTCTGCGAAAGGGGGCAAATCCCTCTCGTCATCTCCTTTATGCAGGAGGTGTCTTTTGCACTGTGTGATGTCGGGCTGTGCGGACCAAAACGAAGTCTTCTTGTGCGCACTGCTGTCGTTCCCTGTTCCTTAAACCCTTTCCTTAAACCCTCCGGGTTTTAAGAAAGTTTTTGAGCCTCCTGGGTACAAGCCTAGTTTGGGTAGCGAAGCGGACCAAACAGTTTGTTCCAAGGAGGCCCGGGGGGGAGGGGGGGAACAATGGGGGCTTGAGACCACCATCAGTTCTGTACGCTTCAGCCATCGTGCTTCGGTCCACGGCCTGCATGCAGTTGCTCTCAGTCATGTCAGTTATGTCAGTCATGTCAGTTGTTTGCAGTTTTCAGTGTTCTTTGCTCGCGATACTTTTCAGTTTTCCCTTTGGCGAAACATTCAGGTGAAGATGATTTTAAAGAAGTTTTATCTTTGAACACTCCTCCTCAAAGGAGGTGTTTTCCAAATCTTTGATTTATCATTCCAGTCGCCTATGATTTTATGTTATTTGAGTTGAGGGCGATTCGCCCCTTGTCAGTTCAATGATATATCTTACGCCGATACATTCTGGATCAACCGGAAGGGGACTCTTAGTCCTTTTAGTGTCCCACCCGGCCCACCCTGTATATTATTTCTCATATGGTCTGTTCAATAACAGCCCAATCTGGATGGGGGGGCAAATCCCTCTCGTCATCTCCTTTATGCAGGAGGTGTCTTTTGCACTGTGTGATGTCGGGCTGTGCGGACCAAAACGAAGTCTTCTTGTGCGCACTGCTGTCGTTCCCTGTTCCTTAAACCCTTTCCTTAAACCCTCCGGGTTTTAAGAAAGTTTTTGAGCCTCCTGGGTACAAACAATTTTCTCATGCTGCATTTCTGCTTTGCTTATACCCAGAGCATCGGCGCTGGTATAGCAGTGGCTGATAGATGTTATCAGGCGCTTTCACAGGGCGCTGGTAGATCTACATACTCCGGCTGTTGAACGCTGATAAGGGCGCTGGCAGTGGCCGCTGGTAGATCTTATTTTGCAATGATATATTAATAACTTAAGTTAACTAGGAGCATATGCTCCTAGACCATTATATTGCAGGAGCATCCGGCTCCTATAGCTATACAAATGAAAACCCACTAAAGATGAAAACTATGTGGTGCAGGACACGCCATGTGGGCGAGGTCGGATTTCAATCCAAGCAATCGAGGTCGGAGCTCTCATACTTGAAAGCCAAAGAGACGTGCTGCTGCTTATCTATACATCCCACACTCTCACCATGGCATCCTAGCATTGTCCAGGGCGATGTCTTCAAGAACAGCTTCCACGACAAACCACACTTCTTCGTATATATACTTGTATAGCTCAGCAGGCATGGCCGGGAACGACTATAGTATATATATAGCATGGTTAAAGTCTAAATCGCGACTTTAACCATGCTGCATGCATGGCATCATGCAATTGGAATGAAAGCGATTGCATCATGCAACTGGACATGTTCCGGCAAGATATATGCTGCAGTACAGAAACATTACAAAATCTATAGAACAATTTGTTCTTCAGCATATATAAATGGTGTAGGAGCATATGCTCCTATATAGTTAACATTAAGTTAACTATATAGGAGCATATGCTCTTAGACCATTATATATTAACAGGAGCAACCCGCTCCTATAGCTACAAATGAAAACCCACTAAAGATGAAAACCATGTGCTGCCCAGAGGACATGTACTGGGCGAGGTCGGCTTTTTTCAATCCAAGCAATCGAGTTCGGAGCTCTCATACTTGAAAGCCAAAGAGACGTGCTGCTGCTTTTCTACATCCCACACTCTCACTGCCTTGGCATCCTTGTCCAGGGCGACGTCTTCAAGGACAGCTTCCACGACAAACCACACTTCTTCGTACTTGTAGAACCGGTTGGCAAGTTCGTGGTGGCCCTCCAGCACGTAGCAGGCAAACTCGGAGGCTCCCCGTCCTGGACCCTGATCCATGCACCTTTGTTGCCCTTGGGGTCCAGCTTCTGAAGCAGCACCGCTTTTGCCATGGCTGGGAATATAAAGCAATAATTGGGCCGAAAAATGGCTGCGGAAATGGCTGCAGAAGGACACAATGCACAACAACTTACTTATATATATATATATATATGTATGTATGTATATATACATATATATATATATATATATATATCGACAAAATAAACTCATTCAACGTTTTTACAGAGCTTCTCCGTCGAGAGCATCCGAGGCCAAAAACCGCAGCAAGAAATTCTTTGCATTGGTGGAGGAGGTGTTCTTACCGCCTCGTCTCTTGGAAGCTTTGGCCCAATACCCGCACCAGCTCTCGTCGCGATAGGTCCAATAGTCCCTGGGGTTTCCATGCTGCTCCGTCTGGTATTCAAGCATTTCTTCCATTAAATGCACCTTTGGTTTCATCTGCCAAAACGGGAAGGGTGACTGTTCTTGAAGAGTTTGGTAAAGTACGCAAAAGCGACGGCATTCTTCAGCAGCCTTCTCGTGATCGAAAACCTCGTCCACGGCAGAGATACGCTTTTGCAATTGAAATAGCAAAGCGAACAGACCTGCAACCAAACGCATGGTGCCATCTTCAGGGTACGTCTGCATGAACTCACGGGAAATCTCGAAAGCAAATGGTACGAGGTAACGACATTCGCCTCCCTTCGCCTTAAGCTTGGGTTTCTTGCTGGCCCCTTCTCGGCGAATCATCTCCAGGGTGAGATTGTCCAGAACACTAGGAGGGCGAAATTGTCTATAAAAATCCCTGATTCGCTGCCATAGCCGTACCAAACGCTGCTCCTTGTTACTTCCTGGAAAGTAGACATTTGATGTGATCAGGAGCCAGAACAAATTGCCTATGACATCGGCACCGACACCCAGGTCAACGATGTGTAGCCAGTCCAGGACGACACAGCTCAGCACGAAGCCGGGCAGGCTTAAAAGAGGTGACAGGGAACCTCCTGCTGCACGCAGCTCGGTCAGGAAATCAACATCAGACAGTCGATTCCGCCTCCACGCTGCTCCAGAATTGCAGATCCGGAAGCTCAGGAGATTACTCGTGTCCACATTCATGGCACGGCACTTCCAACAAATCGACTCCGAGCTCCAGCTTGGAAATTGGAACAACTGCCGAAGGAACGGCCAATCCCCACGTACCTGCAATAACAAAGCACGCCCTGCCAACTGATCACCGTGCTTTCGGAAGTATTTTCGCTTCTCCCTGCTTAGCCACCCAGAGCCGTCGGGAAGTTTAGTGCTCACAGCACCCATAAAAAGCATACGCAAACTCCAAGAAATAATGTTCATGATGACGGTCCAGGTTTCAGCCGTTGCGAACTTCTTGGATACTGCCGTGCAGGGCACACGATCTCCGGAGGGCATCGCGAGGAAGTTGAAGCTGATGATTTCCAAGCTTTCTTTCTTTGTGTATGGCACCCCATCCCCATGCAAACCCAGTGCAATGGTCTCTGCCACTTGTAAGCCGAGCTTCCCGCATGCACTCGCAAGGAGCTTTGATGCAGCAGCTCCTGTAGGCATCTTAAAAAAATCTAACCCATTGCCCCGGATCATGCCATCGATCAGCTCGTGCGGCAACAAGAATGGGTGCTCCCACTCGACCCTTGCCTTGGTGTCGGGGTCCTGGAAAGGAACCATGTGCCAAAAGAGCTCGTGGGCACTCTCACGAACCAACTTGGCCAGGATATCTCTGGCGAAATTGCCGGGATGACGCCCTCCTGCTCCTGCTTCTGCAAAATCTGCGACTGAAGATGTGGCGGATTGATGTTTGGCCTCTGAAGTAGCTCCTTCTGCCAACTCAAAAACGTCTTTCGCTGATAACTTGTTGGACAAAAATGTCTCTGTAAGCTTGCTTCGCAATTTTTTCTTGGGGTTTGCATCGGTAGCACTTCCGGAAGGAGCACTAGGAGCACTCTTTGCTCCTGCTGAGCTGGAGCTAGCTGCTTGTCGTACTCGCTTCAAAGTGTGCAACTCCTCGCGATCACCCCTGACACAGGCACTGATCCACAGCAGCTTGGCACAAAGTAGGAAAAGTAACATGATCCTCATCATGGCTCTCGGAAGCACTCCCGAAGCTTTGAAAAAACTGACACACACACACTCTCTCTCTCTCTCTCTCTCTCTCTCTCTCTCTCTCTCTCTCTCTCTCTCTCTCTCTCTCTCTCTCTCTCTCTCTCTCTCTCTCTCTCTCTCTCTCTCTCTCTCTCTCTCTCTCTCTCTCTCTCTCTCTCTCTCTCTCTCTCTCTCTCTCTCTCTCTCTCCTTCTCGATCTCTCTCTGATCCCTAGTATATACCCTAGGTTGGCCCTCTAAACCCTAAACCCTAAACCCTAAACCTTAAACCCTTATATATATATATATATATATCAAGAAATATATTGTATACGAAGGTGAAGATCTCGAAACGATCAGTTGCGACGTCCTAGCAAAAGCCACTGGTCCAGCATATATAATGCATGCCTGCACCGTCTCACATGCATGGCCCATGCATCTCAGATCTGACATTGTTCGAAACAGAGCTTTTTTCGCAGCTGCAATCGTCCCGTCCAGGCCAAAACGATCTTTGTACAGATCAGCCTTTCAGTAGGAAGCAAACAAAAGTACTTATTAGACAGGCTCGAGCAAACACGCTTCTTGGCAGTGCCTTCGCCATCTACTTAATCGAGCTGCTAGAGTTCGTCCTGAGCAGACCATTACACTTCTTCTTCATTTCTTCAGACATGTCCTTCACCAGGTTCCCCGATTGCAACGTGCTCTGGCACTGCTCCACGTAAGTCTTGCACTCGTTCTCGTCCATCTTCTTCGGATCCTTCATTGTCAACTCCAAGATAGCATGCTCCAGCTCGTCCAGCTTTTGGATGGGGCCGCTCAAGTCAGGAGCCTGAGTATATACACAAATATATATATATATATATATATATATATATATGTACATGCCACAATCCAAAACGTACATAAAGACGTATATAAAAATTGTATTATCTATGTTAAATTGAAACGCATAAGCCAAGCCGCTTCCGCTGCCTTCGGGGATGCCTTAAGCTGCACTCGCGACTTTTTAAAAGCACTCGTGTAGCCCTTGAGCTTGGCCAACAAGGTGTTGAGGTCCTTCAGCAGGTTCTCCGCCGGAAGCACCCACACATGCTCGATCTTCACGCTGGGGGTGGTGCCGGTCGCCGAGGATGCTCCTTCTGTGATCATCTTCAAACCTGCCTGCGCCACGTGCTTCGTCACATCCTTGCTCACGACGACAGACGTGCTCTCCTTGGAACCCATGGTGTGTTCTGTGCCTTCATGTTTTGTCCAAGTGTAACGACGAAGCTTCTGCTTTTTCATGGCCATCTCCAAGGGGTTGGACTCGTCCCAGTCGGAGTCGGAATCCATGTCCTTCAAGGTCTCCTCGAGGATACGCTTTTGAGCTGGGTCCTTCACGTCCAGCTTCAGCATAGCCGCAACTTCGTACCTTTGCAAGCAAGTGTAAACACACACACACATATATATATATATATATATATAACAGATCCACAATCTGTCCTTTTCGGGGTTTGGGGGTGAAGGGGTTTCGGGGTTTGGGGGTTTAAGCTTTCCGGGTTTGGAGGTTCTTAGGGGGCTTCGGGCTTTAGGGTTTGGGGTCTCGTCTTTCAGGAGCCCTGGGCTCCTTGAAGCTAGATAGCTAATGATCCGAATGCTCAAAAAAAATGGTTTGTGACTAGCAATCCATAATCATTTCTGGCCTTCCTCGGGGGTTGTCCTTCTTAAGTCAAGAGGTTTACGGGGCTCTAGAAAATTTGTGGGGCTCTAGGGTTTAGTAGGTACTTTCGGGGTTTGGTCTTTCAGGAGCCCTGGGCTCCTCTAGGCTGGGTAACACAATCCCAATGAAAACCTTGAGCCTCAAGCCTGATATAGCTTCACTGAAAACCTCCGTTGCCAAGGTAGCTGTCAGCTCCTACTACCCAACCCAACCCCGACACCCAAAGCTCCACGCATATGTTTCCGAAGTTGCTTGGTGCCGTAGTTCGAGCGATCCCGGGACTCGGTGCCCTTGTCTTGGGTATAGTTGCAGTGCATCTCGGCCCACGACTTTAGGCTCTTATCCTGGGACCAGCTTTGCAGCATTGCATCCTTTTTCTTGTCACGGAGAGGCAGAGCCTCGTATTCCGCTAGGAATGCTACCTTCCTCTCAAGGTCCTCTACTAGGCTGGGGTCCCCCTGGTCGCCTTGGGCCTTAGCAGCCTCTAGCTTCTGCCTGGCCAGCTTGCACTGTCCCAGCATGTTGCTGGTAGCTTTTTTCTTATCTGCTGCATCGGTGGCTTGCTTGCCGGTCTTCTTCTTGGGAGGCATGGGTGCTGCTACACCGGGGCAAAGATCGAGAAACAATGTTCGAGCCTAGATCTTGATATATTGAAAGCTTACGCACTTCCTGCTTTCGCTGCATTCCAGAACAGCAACTGCAACTGCAAAAAACAAGCAGGCAGGCCAGCAGAACTCGGGCACGTTGCACCTGGGATGGTGACCAATGGGCAGCTTGTGCATGTAAGGAGCCACAGGCTCCTATAGGCAAGGGCCGGGGCTAAGTATGGTTTTCTGCTGTGGTTTCGGATGCTGGTGTATTCTGGGTGCTCGTGTTTCCAAGGTACGTATATAGGATTGGTCGCCAACAGTTGCAACGGTTTCTGGTCTGTTGCCACTGTTGTGCGGGCTGATAATGAATTATTGAAACACATCAAGAAACAGATGCGAGGTTAAATGGAGGTTAAATTTAACCTCAGTTTAACTTAAGTTAAATCGTTAACTTAACTTTGTAACAGCTCTTGATTGAAAGTTAAATGGAGGTTAAATCGAGGTTAAATTTAACCTCGATTTAACCTGTGCTGTTGCCGCTTGGGGTTTCTACTGACCCGGTGATCGATCTCAATCGTTATGCATGGTTTCTGGTCTTAAGCTCTGGTGGCTCGTGGGTTTAGGGTTTAGGGGTTTCGGGGTTTAGGGTTTCGGTGTTTGTGGTGTTCGGGGATTTACGGTGGCATCGTGATTCGTGCTTTAAGCTTTGGTGGCTTCGTCATGGCAGGAGCCATGGGCTCCTTTAAGCTGGAAAACATTTAGAACCCGAATGAAAGCCCTGTGCCCGATGAAAGAAACCCGCTCGCCAAGCTGCTAGCTATATATCCCATATATATATATATATACATATATATATATGGATATATATATATATATATATATATATATATACATATATATATAGACATATATATATATATATGAACTATATATATATATATGTATACATATATATATATAAATATAATTATAATTATACATAGGAATATCATGCAGCCCTGACACCCGAAGATCATATATCATCTTAATACAAAGCCCGACCTTAAACCCTAAACCCCTGAACCCTCAACTCCCAAAGCCTGAAGACACCGATTTATAAAGCTGCTGGGCCCTGGCAAGCATTCGTCCGGCCAGGCGAAAGTCGCTGACCCTGGGCCAGCGAATAGAAGTGGAGCTGTGCACAGAGGGCCACACACAACACAGGAGCACAACATGTCCATCGATCAGTGCAAGAGAACACATGCACTGCATGCTGAAATGTAAGAAACCCTGCTCCAGGCCCTTAGCCCGGACACCCAAACATATCCGGCCTCTCTGGGTCCATGCCGACGGCTCCTGAACACAGGGTTCTTGAAGTTTTGCAGACGTGCTTTAAGCTTTGGTGGCTTCATATCATGGCAGGAGCCATGGGCTCCTTTAAGCACATTTAGAACAAGGCACCGGTTCTTTTCTTGAAACTGCCTGCTCGCGGATCATCCTGATCGAACACTGAAACATGATCTACAGCACCCAACTGCCCGCAGGCAGTGGTACGGGCCCCAGGTTAGGATCGCCATTGCCGGAACCATCATTGTCCTTATGATCGTCATCCTCGAAGCGACGCTTTTTATCCGGTTGGCCATTGTCGAGTGGCGGCTCCTCCTCCGTCTCTTCCTCCTCCTCCTCCTCCGCCAGCAGATCTATCACGCCGGGCATCTCCTTCCTCTTCTTCTCGAACTGTTCGATTTTGATCATCCGTTGTTCTTCCGGCGATTTCTGCATCCACCACGAGCGGTGCCTCTGGCCTTTGGTTCCCCTGGTGGTAGGTCTCGTCCTGGCACCATGCACCTTTTTTCCAAGATCCTCCACGCTCTCCTTGTTGCCCCATGCATGGAGCCGCTTTCCGACACTTGTCGTCTCCTGCCCCCAGATGCTCAAGGCCTAAGTTCGCGAGACTTTGGGTTAATTTTAATGGTTCGGTGCTATATATTAATTAATGCTTCGAACGACAGAAAGATATTGAGTAGATTGATAAAGACAACGAAATATATATGTATATATATATAATATTGTCGCTAAAACTATATATGTCAGGGTCCGTCTATAGGTGCATGATTTTAATTCATTCCAATAATACATGCTAGCTGACTGGAATTGTATTGTGGCAGGCTTTCTGTTTTTCGTCTAGGAAAGATTACACCTCGGATCCCAGGGTTCATGTATTTTAGGGTTCGGGGTTTAGGGTTTGGGGGTTTGGTGATTTTGGCCTTAAATGTTAATTTCAGGAGCTTAAGTTACTGGCTCCTATATATATAGTCGTAGCCTCTATACTGCTTGCTGTCCCAGCCACGCATTCTTCGTTCAGGCATAGGCCATTCCGAAGATAACCTGTTCGAACGCAGGCCTTACATGCTCGCAGGTACTCGCTGTTGCCGCCAGATCCACCAGAGGATCCCGAGCCGTGATCATTGGACCAGCCCTCATTGGAGCCGCCCTTCTCCCACGTTTTCTTCGCCCATTGCTTCTTATTCTTCTGGGCATTGGGATCCCAGTTTGTCTGGCCCCACTGCTGGCCCCACTGCTGCTGGGGTGGTGCTGGTGCTGGGGGCGGGAATGCAGGGTTCACGCCGATCGGCCATGCATTCGGGAACGGCAATTGGCCTTGCTGGCCTTGCTGTCCTGAGCTGCTGTTGACGGCATCAGCGGCTCCTTGCAATGCCTTACCAAGGTCGT